ATAAGCCCAGACTACGCAACGATATCCCGAAGCATGGCGTCAGTAATCACTCTTGCACTGCGCTGCGAATTTCATACAAAATTATCGTATCCACATCGAAAGATATACTCGATGAATATATATACACATGCTTATAGATACTATAAATAAGCCCCAAACCCTTAATCCTAGAAAATATATATGGTTTAGTGTGTTCGCAACCTTCTTAAGCACACCCAAGACCTACCTGCTATAGGACTGCGCAATGTGTCGTTCGAGGTCTTCACAGAGCACAGAATTACCGGACAACAATCGAGACCCTGTAGAGCCTGTACACACACACACCAAAAGAGATGGGTGGTTAGTAGAAGGTCGACCTCAAACTTGACATAGAAGGACAAGGGTATGATAGTTGACAGGTATACAACTTCATATGGCCATTGAGAAGAATAGGATTGATTAAGCTCTGGATTTGAAGGTGCAGTTCTCATGCTATGCTGGCCCTGAACGCGTGTTGATGAGAAGGAGGTTGGCGGGAAACCCAACCCATACGTGACGAGAATGATACTAGATTTACAAAGGGGACATACCCGATTCTAGGTTTACGCCTTCGGATGTCTATCGAAAAGTGTGTAGTTGTATTGGTGAAGTTCTGGGATCGAGTGAGTGAAAATAAAAATAATACTGACCCTGTACACACGCCTATTGAGCAGAAGTTTAGCGGAAACTCCACCCCGAATAAGAGGACCTGTACGATGGTGGGTACACAACATCGCATGTCTAACCGATATGCATAAAAAAGATGTAGTTCTGAAATATGATTAATGAGGTAATCCTAACTTATGTTACTCTGAATTATGATTATCGAGGGATTCCTAATTTGTGTTAGCCCTGAATTATAATTAATGAGAAATTCTTAATTTAGGTTGACCCTGAATTATAATAAATGAAGGATTCCTATTTATGCTGACCCTTCACATACGCCAGTGAGAAGATAGTTGAAACATACACCCAATGCATGGCAACGAAGGGAAAAGACATGTTCGAAAATAGACACTTTTGTGCATTTATTGAATAGTGCTGTAGATGCGATGGAGTTTATAAATAGACACCTTTATGCACTTAATCGAATAGTGCCGTAGATGCGATGGGGTTTATATATCGACACCTTTGTACACTTAATCGAATAGTGCTGTAGATGCGATGGGGTTTATATATACACCTTTGTACACTTAATGGAATGGTGCTGTAGATGCGATGGGATTCATATATAGACACCTTTGTACACTTGATCGAATAGTGCTGTAGATGCGGTGGGGTTTTAAAATATACACCTTTGTACACTTAATCGTATAGCGCTGTAGATGCGATGGGGTATATATATATAGACACTTTTATACCCCCATTGAATACTGTTGTATTAATGCGATGCTCCTTGTCGCTGTGCAATTGATTTCTACCAATTTCTTACCCAGGTGACGTATTCCACGTGAGCATTGACAAAGCAGAACAACATCGTCAGGAAAAACTATCATGACCGCATTAGATTCCGGGGGTTCGCGTTCGTGCGTTTAGACCGTCACTCCCACACAATACAAGCAATCCGCGACATCCCGATACTCAACTAACTATACCTATACACTTACAACACGCGTTACATCTTTAAGCTGTACAGTCCTATCGAAGGTATACGCACCGAGAGCTGGACCTGTACCATCAAATATAGGTCGACTTACCTGCTCGCATACCCTAAAACAACTTATAATACGCAAACTGGCATCTCAAACACAGCGATTTCATTGAAGAACTGTTTAAGTAAATTTCGGCGTACATTCTACTTACCGAGACCTGCCTCTGGACCATCGATTAGGGCCTGTCCTACTCGCTCACAAAGAGTCCGCGATTGTCCTAAACTCAGGTAGTCATTACTACTGAAATCTACCAGGGTACGGTCTACATCTGGGGGCGCACGTTTGGTACCCAGCTTCTGGCGTTTATCCAGCAATCCTATTAATAGACCCGGAATAGTACAACACCAATCAGCATGATATAGGATGTCAGTTCGGTATCAGAAGTGGTCCCGGTGAGTTCAACAATTTGGGGGGGGGGGGGGGGTCGACTCGGAAACGCGCAACATAGGCAGTTGCGTCGCACACAATAGCTCTTGGCAGACCTTACCACAGTAGCGGCATAACACGCATAACATACATAGACAGCCGGAGCTGGGAGAGAGATTATGTGCACGTATCACTGACTTGGACAGTGTGTTTCGTACCACACTTTCCTCGTTACTCCGGGGAAGTCATGCTGAGTTTTAAATGGTTCGATCGGGTACGGCAGGCGGACGAGTGATGGATGTGTATTGAGAGTAGTGGTCTCGCCTAAGTGAAATACAGTACGATCTCTGGTCTCTCCTCGGATATATATATATATATATATATATATATAATACCTATATACAAACAGTCTTCGGTATATAGGTATGGTCTTCTCTATAAGATCTACATACACACAAAACATGCTTGCAAACGCGCAAACAGTCACGACGTATTGACACACGCAAGCACATAAACATGCATACATACATCAAAATGTACACTCACTCACACATAAAACACAAACACACACATGCACATGAAACACAATCACACACACACACGCATAAACAACACATATATATCAATCTAAACATACATCTACATCTACATATATATATATATGTACACACACACACACACCATATATATAATATATAATATATATATAATATATAATATATATATATATATATATATATATATATATATATATATATATATATATATATATATATTTATATATATATGTGTGTGTATATACACGTGTGTGTGCGTAAATATACGTAAACTTGTAAATATATATATATATATATATGTATATATAAACTTCTCTGCGTTGACAGGTAACAGTCAGTCATATGAAGAAGCAAACCTTCCAGGACCAAGCTGAGATCATATGTTCCATCGATTTCATTCGGAGCATCCTTTCCTCCCTCTTGTATGATCTTATCTGGCATAGTATGTAGATTTCTAATCCCTAAATAGTCTGCACAGAAAGCCGCAGACGACCCTTTACACAACACAGTAGTTCTTGACTCTGGCCTTGGGCTTCTTCTAGAATGCTTGCTACCTATCCTGGAACTTGAATATATGCTTGCTCTTATTGTGGGCAACATATATCTATTGTAAAACACAGGTATGAGTGTATAGTACAGATATACAAACCAATCGCTGTGACTATACTAGGCGGATTTATAGTTTATACACTCCGGCATACAAGAAGTAAGTCGAGAGATATACTGTATACTTATTTATAATTTTACATATATGAACGCAATGTAAACACCTCTTTTGTTGACAGAATATTTGTCATCAAAAATAAAAGTGGTCACATTGTACACCAATTCTTATTGGCTAACCAAAACTATGTGCCGTGTAGCAAAGTCTGGATTGGACACTCACACTGTCTGAGGAATGAGGTCTCAGGTCTGAGGACTTGAGACGACTGAAAGACTGTCAGAGTCTCTACTGAATAAATAGTTCTGCTAAGGTTATCTGAACGCTTTTATTTTATTTTAAAAAAACCACTATAGTACTTCTTGTGTTGTCTATTTATTTTTCTTTTTAGAAAGCGCTCTTCATACCGAGAAAATTTTTTTTTTCATCACAAAAGAATTCCCGTGTGTACATAATGTGACTCTAATGATAATCTATTAATCTTCCCGTTCGTCGGGTGGAAAATGGCGATAGCAATTTAACTTTTAAACCAATGAAAATGTATTTTATCGTAGTGTAAACCAATAAAAAATCTTCGTTGAGTACTTCCGACGTGTTACCATTCAAAACTGTGTAGTCCTGTCTGCAGTTCTGCAGTGCTGCACTCACTGTAGTCTGCTTTCTGCCGGAACTCTGTACAACAATACGACTGCCACAGTGCAACTCCGCAGTCCGACGGCAGTCTGCATCTCTGCACTCTGCAGTCTGCACCGGTCACTGTCAGTTTTGGCGGCAATGACGGAATTACTAACCCCCAGAACAAAACGTAAATTTACGTTTTCTAAAATTTATCTACGAAACGTTGGGTACATGACTCCAAGTAGCTCAAATGCATTATATGTACCTATTCTGATTTCTGAAGTCTGAAACTAAAAGTCGGACAGTCACAGGTTAAAAAAAAGTCCATAATATAGAAATGTCATTTTCACCCCCACTAGAATCTTCAGGTCATCTGGGCATTCACATGCTCTGGGTAGGGTTGTGTGTATTTAGGACTCTTGGGTTCTGCTGTAAATATATAACACAATTAAAAAAATAAAATAGACGGACGGACAGTGTTTACTACTGCTGGCTATATTTAGTATACATATATCCCGAATACGCTAGTTTGAGAATACCTATTTATAAATACGTTATAGTATATCACTATACGCTACATATTAGCCAAACACATAGGTAGCGAGCTACTTTGACACATTTCACAGATACGGGTCAAAATGCTCCGATCAAACGGCCAGAGAGCAGCTCGAGTGTTGCGGTTGAGTTCAAGGTCATCCCAAACACATGCAGCAGGCGACCACCTAAACATCCACAACCCTACGTTCCAGGTATGTCCATGCTCGGGTAATTCTTTCACTGCTACTTGTGAGTCATTCTGAAGGTTGATAGTAATAGACCACTAATAAGGCTAACTACATCGGATACGTATGATATGGGGTAAACATTTATCGTTCACTCTGTGTCTATGCATAGTGCAGAGTATATTATTATACAATCCATACCTAATAGAGAAGGTGGCGGGACTTGTTGTTAATTTCCAGACACATAGCAACAATTGCAAGATTTTTGTGCCTATTCATCTGTTTTTCTTGAAAACAGAAAGTATTCATCTGTTGTCTTTAAGTCGTAAGTCAGACATCTGCGAGTTCGCTCTGTAGGCTGTGGTGTACATTTGCACGTACTATAGTAGCAATTGGCGACGGCGAAGTATTTTATCTGTAAACCTTTTATAATTGGCAGATGTGCGAATAGTAAATGGATTCGGTGTGAAAATCTCCGACTTGATCGAGATACCATATATGGTGTCAATGCCATACACATGGCGCTTGTGGTTGTCTATGTGGTGTTGATTTAGTACAAGACTATGGTCCAGAAAGCCGAAACCAGTTTTCACTCTTTGTACGTTTGACGCTATGCGCGATTTCAACTACTAGGATACGCACAAATGTGTAATCACAGTCAATATGTATGCCTGTGTGGCTGGGATTACTGTGCAATCGCTGCAAGTCTGATACCCGTTCGTGATGTGTGTATGAATAGCATACCTGTGTATAAGGACACGCGAAAGTTATCTCAAGGCTTGTTTTGCCATGTTTATTTTTGATATATATATATAGTCCATACTGGTAAAGTTATAAATGGCATGTTTGAATGTATTTACCACGCCGGGGGTAGCATGTACAGTGTCTTGAGTACCCAACATCTACTACTCGGAGGTTGTACAACTACGCTTCTGTGTATACGTTATATGACTTACAGCAGTAGTGCTACCGTTTCTCATTCGTGCCGTTAACGAATTGTCAAGTACCATCCGCTTTATAAGCGCCCTGAAATCCAGAGCTAATATCTTCCACTCTATTTATACATTACTAGTTACCATCGGCTACGTGAACACATTGATTTTACATGGCTGAGACGGATATAAATTATAAATTGAATGGTATCAGTCCGTCCCACTTCCACTCTATCTATACACTACTGATTCTCATCTGTGATACACACGCACAGATTTACGGGGCGAATACTGATGTGGGTAAAACAATCGTCTCCGCGGGACTGCTGAGAGCCCATTTGAGAGCGAAGGCAAAGAACGGCACAAACCTGTCCGAATGCCGCACAGCATATGTCAAGCCCTTGCAGACGGGCAGTATACATGACGAAACATTCATTGCTGAGAATGGTATGTGTGTATGCATGTATATGTGTGTATATATACGTATATATATATATATATATATATATATATACATATATGTATATATATTTATATCTGTGTTTGTATATATAAGAATATGTGTGTATATGTATTTGTATCTGTAGATATGTTAATTGTATCTGTAGATATGTGCTGAGATGCATGTTCAAGGTTTCGGATTTGTTTTGTATCGGTATATGATATTGTTTGAAATAGTACAGGTGTGTCTTATTACCAAACAGCATAGGCTAGGCCTTTACAGCTGGATAGTATACATGACGAAACATTCATTGCTGAGCATGGTGTGTGTGTATGTGTATGCATGTGTAGATACATGCTTATGGGCTAAGGTTACTTAAGGATTGATATATGTGTATAAAAAATTGCGACACAGGCGTGTTCTTTTAGCACATAGGCAGTTGCAAACAGGCACTATGAATAACGAGACATAGCTGAGAATTAGTTGTCTGTTTGATAAAGACGCGTGTTTGTATCTATCTATTGCATGATCTTTAACGTGTATGTATACACCCAGGCGTATAAATATGTATACGGACGTATAGCTTATTAGTAGAGATGTGTTGTGTACAAAACATAGATTCGTCCGAGTGCAGCACAGCCTAACAAAATGCATGGCGAGCTTCAATCGCTAAAAATGATATATATATATATATATTGATGGCTCTACAGCCATGGTATATATGCACTTCAAGATACAAATATATATAGAGAGTTCTATAGAGACGTAGATATCTGTGGATGCCAGGGCGCAGTTCAACCCATAAGCCGCACACCATACACCACCCATGGGCAAACAGACAGGGACGCGCTGTTAGCTGTGAAGTGTACATGGGCATCAGAACCAACTTCATTTACCTACACGTCTATTCCTGTGCGAGTATTCTAAGATGTGCACATACGTGCAGTCTGAAATAACCTGTACATATATCGCGCAGGTGTTATAGCGACTATATATAGCATTCTATCGCATAAACATACACTCAAATAACACCCACACACATATGGCACACTTGGGCGCAGATTTCCCCGAGTGCCGCACAGCACACACGTGCAGATATATCATTCACACGATCAATTGGATACTTCAACCACAGATGTTCTACTCATCTCACGCCAGTTGGCAAGTCAATTTGGACAAGTATTGGACAAGTGCACCGTAAAACAATCCTTTGTTTTCTTTTTGAACAGAAGGGATTATGTATACATCAGGTATGTATCATTACATCGACCGCACATACCTAACCATATTCCGTTACCGTATACCTAACCTTATTTCGTTCACTTTATCTCGCATCAGTTCTCAGTCAATCGGATCAAGTGTACCGGAACACACTCCTTTTCTGGAGCATTGGGAATACTATATATTTAACCTGTTAACGTTTATTCATCCACTCCATATCAATCGTGATATATCTCGGAACAGATCCCAGTCAATTGGGTCGGGTGCACCGGAAAGCACTTTATTTCCGGAGCATGGGGAATACCAAATACATAATTTATTTACGTTCATCGACTCCCTATCTACCCTGATTTGCTTGGTACCAGTTCCCAATCAATTGGGGCAAGTGCACCGGGACACACTTCATTTCTGGAGCATTGGGAATACTATATATATGATCTGTTAACGTTTATTTATCGACTCCCTATCTACCCTGATTTGTTCGGTACCAGTTCCCAGTCAATTGGGTCAAGTGCACCGGAAAACACTCCATTTCTGGGACATCCCCGCGTCTCCTCACATCTCCGCCAGGGCCGAGAACAGAGTGATCGCAGATAACGATGTAATTACTGGTGTGAAGTCTGCGCTGGCCGCGTTGCCATGGTTACGGGAACAGCCCGCCAAAATCAGTGGTTCGGGTAAGTGATGTATAGACTGAGCAGTACATGATAGCTAGCCTTCTTCGAGCATTGCTATTAGACGTAAGTGTTATACTGTATCCACGTGTACACTCAAACAGGTCGACATGGTAATGTACCAGCTCATCTCAACTTAGACTAACAATTGCTTTAAATGCAAATTATGATCGTGCGAACGCTTGAGTGACACGTGACTGCGGCAAAATAGCCCTCTCACCTCTGAGAGACTTATCGTTACGAGTATACACTAACTGTATGTGTTAATAATTCCATGGTCGCAGATACTTACCTGATTGTAAAGCTTAACCCTGCCGAGACCCTTATCTTTACCAGTGTAGAGTATACACTAATTGTATGTGTTAACACTTCCATGGACGCAGATACCGAACTGTCTTCCATGACTCTGGTTGAGACAGCCGGGGGAGTGCTGTCACCTTCAGCCACCATCAGACCACAGGCAGACGTCTACAGACCTTTGCGACTGCCAGTTGTCTTGATAGGCGACCCAAAGCTCGGGGGTATCTCATCAACACTCTCTGCGTATGAATCGCTGATTGTGAGAGGTATATATATATATATATTGCTATTTTTCTATTTATAAGCACATACGTATCTACATCTATATACATGGTATATTATATATATATATATATATTTGTACATTTAGCTAATAATTGTACTGGTATATGTAGTTGTTTTATGTATGTGTATATGTAGTCTACAGATCACATCGTTAGCCCTCATGCTGGTTGGCCATATATGGCTGGCATGTATCTTCTCTAGTGAAGGATTATCTACCAGCTTATGAATTGCTAGGACGCCGAAAGTGTGTACTTGTGGGAGGATATGAGCGCATTGGTAGTTCTGAGTATAAAACACGTTGTGCTCTGTCGTCTATGCATGTCTATAACACACACACGTTTCCACACACAAGCACTGATCACAGTTGCTTCACTGCTGGGCATATATGGACCACACTCTCCAGCCGCAAAAATCGAATACCCAATCTTATGTCTCGATTAATATAAAATTCGCATCGTGTAATTTAGAACAATTTAAAATATATTTCAGGATACGATGTGGTTGCATTGGCCGTGCTAGACGACACCACCAATTCCGATGCACTCACTGAGATAATGCGGGACGTCTACCCAGCACACACGCCGCTGAGTGGCACCCAGCCTCTGAACATTGTCAGGTATGCATGACTTTAGGGGCTGGTAGTTAAGGTTAGTGTATTGTCAATGTATGGTTCTGAGAGGTATGTATGACTTTAGGGGTTGGTAGTTAGGATTAGTATGATGCCAATGTATGTTTCTGAGAGGTATGAATGACTTTAAGGGTCGTTAGTCAGGACTAATATATTGTCAATGTATGTTTCTGAGAGGATGTATAGAATATGTGAAGCACTCACAGACATGACGAGGGATATATACCTATCACACACACTTCCGAGTGGCAAACAGTCCCCAGATATTCGAGTTCACGATATATTGATAAAATGTTCTGTGTAGTGAGATTAGACGTATATGAAAGGCTTTATCTGTATATAAACAATGTACGTGTATTGATTGGCGATGCACCTACAGAGATTGTGCGGTAGGTATACACAGCACTCCCGCCGTTAAGTGGTGATGTGTCTCTTATAGCCTTGTCGGCTGAGCAAGGCGTTTAAGATGGGTACGTGAGATGGTTTGCTTGATGGTATTGTGCTTATAGTAAGAGATGGGATTGACCTTCACAACAGCGATACCATACATATATATAGTTATAAAGTTTGTGACCAGTCGGTGCACTTTCAACGAGAGAGTGTGATACACTCGGCTTATGTTGATGACAGAAGAAGTGAGCTTTCTGTGTATCAGTGTTGTGTTCAAACGGATTCGTGTTTGGAACGTCGATGTCTGATAAACCTATACAAATTATCCTTAACTCTCTGAGAACAACACACGCAAAGTCCATACACACACATTTTTACGTATCTGTATTTGGCGCTCACCATTACCGATTGCATCCTTTAATCGTCCCCTTTAACGCTATCAATTGCCATACGTATATCCTTTTGTTGCTAACAACAGTAACATTAACGGCTCATCTGTCGCTATACAGAACACACTTAACCTATATACCCTTGTGCTATCCCCCAGACGTGTGCAGTCGTTTCTCCTGGCATACCCCACTCGCCTTCTGTGCTATGTTCGATATTTCGTACCCAGCACTCTATGTCTACGAATGAGATATAAACACTACGCAACTCTTTTTAGTTTCAAATCAATAGCTGCATCCTCTGAGACATGTATTGCACATTCAGATCCAGCTCAATGAGTACCCAAAACGTTTAACGTGGTCGGTCATGTATGCACCTATAAATAAACGTATAAAACTTTTAACGCTATCGTTCATGTAATATTTACCTTATTTTAAATACTGGAAGAAAATAAAATAACATCTTATACCGTAATCCAGGCTCCCAGAGATCCCCCCGCCCGAAGTGACTGATCTGTCCTCGTGGTACGCCACACCCGAGCACGAGGCAATGTTCGATTCACTGTACCGGACGGTGTGCGCGTGGCAGGCCGACCACGTGCGCGAGGTGACGTCACTGCAGTCGCGTGGTGAAGGGGTGCTGTGGTGGCCGTTCACACAGCACCAGAGTGTGGGGGGCACGGACGGGTCGCCTGTGACGCACATCGACTCGGCACTGGACGATGACTTCCATGTGGTGGAAAAGAACGGTGGGTGTGGGATGTGAGCAGAACGTGTGTAGGGTATAGGGGATGTATGGGGTAGGGTTTTAAAGTTTATTGTGTAGGCTAAAACCCTAAAACCTCTAAAAATTCTAGAATGTGTATAGAGTATAGGGGATGTAAGATTTTAGGGTCTATGGAATAGGTTAAACACTAAAATCTCTAAAATCGAGAATGTGTATAGCGTATGGGAGGGGATGTATGAAGTTTAGTTATAGCATGGGCTGGTTGTTGGGCCACGTGGTATATCTGACACCGTGTGAGCGCTAGGTGTGGTAGAGAAGAACGGTATGTATACTGGATATGTATAGCGAGAATGTATAGGCTTTGAGGACTGTCTTGTTTGTGGTTGTAAGGCGGCCTGGGCTGGTTGTTTGTTGACTGCGTGATATGTGACGCTAATGTGTGTGGTGTGGGTGGGAAGTAGAGGTACTCCAAGTTACTATCGACTCGGTGCTGGATGACCACTCCGGTGTGGTTGAGAGGAAGAACACAGTGTGTATAGACATATTGAAATATGCCCGGCGTGTTTGTGTTTTGTTATGCCTGTTTATAGTGTGAGCTAGTTTTGGGGTTGTGTGGCACTTGCTACTGTGTGAGCGTCTGGGGTTCAGGGTTTTACGGCTGAGCGCTGCGAAGGGTGTGCCCGCTATAACCTCTGTTTGGCTTTGCATGTGATGACAACTTCCTTGTGGCTGAGATGACCGGAACGTATGTAATATAAGATACATATCTGAGCGTAGTGTGAGGCGGTTGTTGGAATAAGTGGCACTCGGCAGTGGGTGAGCGCACAGCGCCAGGTGAGCGCACAGCGCCAGGTGTGTGCACGGGCTGGGTTGGATGGGAATACCGGAACAACCCACGGTATACCATCACGGCAGTACTGTACTATTGTCTTTGCACACTTTTGAGTACGCGCTTACCACTAGTCTTGTTGGCCATAACACGTTTACTACAGGGGATGTGGTGCCGTTGTTCGACAGTTGCGCTAGTTGGTGGACCCAGGGAGTTGGTCACGGAAACGTTTCCATGGCAACCAGTCTCGCCTATGCCGCCGGTAGGTACGGCCACGTCATCTTCCCCGAGAATGTGCACACCCTGGCGGTGCAGGCTTCCGAAGAGATTCTCAAGGTAAGATTCAAAGTCTATAAATAGAACACTGGGCCGTACAGAGATACCTGTAGTAGTCCTGCAATGTACCCTGTCTTGGGAGATCTCACTATACACAACAAATTGGCCGTGTGTAGCGCTTGGATTTGATCGACATTCTTCTTCGTCTTCTCGAAGCAAGCATACTCTGTTTAATGTGTGCGATACCAATCGACACCAATTAGTTGTCATTAAGCAAGCATGCTTGTTAATGTGTGCGATACCAATCGACACCAATTAGTGGTCATTAAGCAAGCATGCTCTGTTTAATGTGTGCGCTACCAATCGACACCAATTAGTGTTCATTAAGCAAGCACGCTCTGTTTAATGTGTGAGCTACCAATCGACACCAATTAGTGGTCATTAAGCAAGCATGCTCTGTTTAATGTGTGCGCTACCAATCGACACCAATTAGTGTTCATTAAGCAAGCACGCTCTGTTTAATGTGTGAGCTACCAATCGACACCAATTAGTGGTCATTAAGCAAGCATGCTCTGTTTAATGTGTGAGCTACCAATCGACACCAATTAGTGTTCATTAAGCAAGCATGCTCTGTTTTATGTGTGAGCTACCAATCGACACCAATTAGTGGTCATTAAGCAAGCACGCTCTGTTTAATGTCTGCGATACCTATTGGTTATTACATACATCCTCATTGTGCATATGGTAGCCTTACGGTAACGCTTGGGGTGAGCGCATATTCACCACAGTCAACGACACTTCATTGACAGGTCATGAAATCTATTATAATTTACGACATGTGTTCAATTGTTGTATGATTTAGGCCGTGGGTGGCGGTGGTGGTTGTTCTACTAAAACCGTGGCAATTTGTTCCGTATTTTATGACGCATATGTGATTACAGACATCTTTTTCTGTTTAACGCTCAGTAGGCCGTGAACGACGTATGGGCGAACGCATGTTGTTACTTACAACAACTTTGCGTGTGGAATTTACGACACTTTATCAATTTGCGATTTCTAACCTTGTTGTATATACTCTATATGCCGTGAGTGGCTCGTGGGGCGAGCGTGTGTTCTTGTAATCCATGGCAATTCGTTCGCAATTAACGACACTTCATTGATTAAAGTTTTATTGTTGTATATTCTGTAGGCGGTGGGTGGCAAGTGGGGCGAGCGTGTGTTCTTCACAGACAACGGGTCAACGGCGGTGGAGGTCGCTGTGAAGATGGCTTTCAAGAAGTACATCAGCACAGCCACGCAGAAAAATGCAGAATTCGATACAAAGGTGTGTTTGCATATCTAGTTTAAGTACGGAGTAAATACGTTCTTTTGTGTTTTGTATGCGAGATATCAGTGGTTTGTTTGTTAAGAATAATTATATATACATATATATATATATACATATCGATATAGATATATATAAACATATATATATATATATATATCATGTGTAAATAGCAGTGGTAACGTCTGAATGTATCTGGTACAAGAAAATTTATAATATATAATCAACATTGATAGGTGTATATGCGAAGGCATACTGCTAATGAGAGAGAGAGATATATATATATATATCATTCGTATTGACAAGTAGATATCTGGTATTATCACCTCGCAGACCATCCCCAAGCTTCGCATAATGGCGCAGTCCAACTGTTACCATGGTGATACACTTGGAGTAATGAACGTTGCCGAACCTTCCGTGTTTACTGAAGGCCAGCACCCCTGGTTTGAGTGCAAGGCGCTGAGTGTGGACACTCCCACTATCGAGTGTGTGAATGGGAAGTACCATGTAACCCTACCGAAAAGTATATCTGGGTAAGTGTACATGTATATAGAATACACACGTATATATACATATGGCTACACGTGTATGTATGTGCATTCTAATACAATTGAGTACAAGCTGATCAGTGTAGACACTCCCACTATCAAGCGTGTGAAGGGGAGATACCACATAACGCTATGAAAAGTATATCGGGGTAAGTGTACATGTATGTATGTACCTATGAATAAACGACACGTGTATACATATGCATACTTATACTTCAGTAATAGCAACCCCTGTCTTGTGGATTAAGTCCTCATATCCAGCATGCTAACTTTCGAGTGGTGTTCGACATGTACTTGTTCGTATACATGCATATGTAGAACGTTTTCCAAACATATAGTTACACTTTCATACACATATATCTAGGTCTATCAATACAGTATTTCCCTAGACATGACCATTTCATCGTTAGCAAACACACGTATCTATATATATTATATTGCATATATATATATATATATAGGTATAGTATTAGGCTACATTCGGCCGTCTCCTCGATAACACACACATACATACAGACATACATACATATCTAAGCCTATAGTGGTTCTTTAAACTTGACTATATCATCGTCTACACACACAGGGCTGATGATGCCACTGTTGCCATCAAGGCAAGAGAGGATGTGTTCAGTCTGGACAGAGACAACACACCATTGTACAAGCAGTATACCACCCATATTACTGACATGCTAGACCAAGCACACGCCGATCGCAACACACGGGGCGATGTGGGTGCCCTGATGGTGGAACCAGTATTATTAGGTGTGTATTGTATGCCTTTGGCTAGTATGGTGCATTAAAATTACGAAGAGCGTATATATATATATATATATATTATATATATATGTGTGTGTGTGTGTATGTATGTACGTATATATATATACAATTTGAAATTTGCATACCTATATTGGTTTACATAGTATCATCCCTGCAGGTGCCGGAGGTTCATGTTGGATTGATCTGCTATTCCAACGTGCCATAGTCCGTATATGCAAGCGGAAACAGACTATAAGCACCTGTGAAGACGCACATGACACAAACATGTACATGCAATATATATATATATATATACCTCCAGTCCGAGCTTATTCACATACAATCTATATACTTTCACATATATTCCGTATGTATGTACATACAATCTCCTGACTAGCCTATGCATCTACTTGACCTAGCAAATAAATAACATAACATCCATCAAATTATCCATACAGGTGCCGGGGGTATGATGTGGATCGATCCGCTATTCCAGCGAGCCATGATTCGTGTGTGTCGACAGCGGGACATCCCTGTGATCTTTGATGAGGTGTTCGCAGGCTTTTGGCGCTTGGGTTGTGCTTCTACCACACAGTTGCTGGGTGTGGATCCCGACATCTCCTGCTATGCTAAGCTGCTCACAGGTACCTATACCTGAGTGTATGCTAAGATTGGATTGTGCGTCTTTGGATCTCGTCACGGATTGTCATAAGGAGGTTTAGTTTCATATTTCTGTATATTTGTACGCGTATATATATATATATATGCTTATACATGCTTATACATGCTTGTACATGCCTATAAATTCAAAGACAGAAGCGCGCATACGTATGTTTGTAGCTACTGAAAAGATTTCCACACCCAATCACAGGCGGAGTGATACCAATGTCAGTGACTGTGGCCTCGGCGGATGTCTTCGATTCTTTCTTGGGCGACGCAAAAGCGGATGCACTTCTGCACGGCCACTCGTACACAGCACACCCCATGGGTAAGTGTGTAGTAACATACGTTGACTCGTTACAGTTGCCGGTTTGAACTAGTCAATATATAACTAATGGGGCGCTACCTAGATGGTTTACTAGGAGTGCTGAATTTTATGATAGGCACATGTTGGCAAGAATGTAGTATAAATATATATATATATAAAGGTGTGTATATGTATATATGTATGTATACATGCAGCCTGCAAGTGAATATTGGCTGGCCTATATGGACACTCATCAACGTGTGGCTACTCAATTTCATATCATGTATGTGACAAGTTTGTGTATTCATCTGCATCAGACTATCATTCGCGATCAGTGTTTTCAGCGCCGGTGTACTACAATTTTCCTGCAGGTTGTGCCTCAGTACTTACTGCGTTGCAACAGTACAAGGCGAGTCCTAACTTCGATCAACAGACCCAAACACTCGCCGAGTCCTGGGATATTGCTGAGGTTGAGAAGCTGTCTGGACATAGAGGTAGGTTCTGTTAAGTGGATGTTATCATGTATCGTTTACCTGAAATTGGATGCATATGCATAAGTCTATATATAGAGAGAGTTGTAAAACCCTAAGCCTAAGAACAAATATATTTTTAGATCATATGTATATGTATCATCGGCGTGGTTCGACATTTGACAGTTTGCAATACTATATTCTGTGTTGATATCTTGACTTTTTCATCTTATTCCAATACGGAAACTGCATGACACCGGATAGTATGAAAATGTACGGTAGTAACCTGTCCTTTTCAGTAAATACGAAGAGTATATGCGCAAGTTCGATGCTCTTGCTACACTTTTTTGTTCAATACTAACAACGGATCGATGTACGTTTCATATCCCCATTTCTTCTATTGGTTCAATGCATATAGGACAATGTACATACATTCTATCTTGCATCGTGGCATTAGCCTCGACTCTTTATGGTAGTGATATATTGGACTGTAAATACTTCATTTATATTTAAGTATGAAACACCCATGGACTACATACACAATTTCGTAATAAGCTGCCAATGCTTCGTTTATGTATAAGTACGATACATCCATGGACTATATGCACAATTGCGTAATAACTGCCAATGCTTCTTTTGTATATAAGTACGATACATTCATGGACTACATGCACAATTGCGTAATAAGCTACTAATGCTTCATTTGTATCTAAATACGATACAGAGTTTTTATATTCGCTCTCAACTTCTCCTTCACGAGTAACCATAAACCAATGCCTGTAAATGCCAATATCTCCTGATCATTCTGTTCCCTCCGAATAACATTGAGGACAATTTCGTTTGTTGACGTCTCTCTCTATCGTCTTCTTCCAATGCCGCACACCACACCGTCAGCCTACGAACAGTATGCGTAGTAGCGATCGACTGGCACTTTGGGTTGTTCTAGTCTGAAATCTCACCATATCCTGCACGAGACAAGCATGAATCAACCCTGAATATTCACACATTCCTATCTTCCTTCTTCATTCCTATTTGCAGCCGTACATCACGCTTTCAGTCTAGGCACAGTGTGTGTAGTGGCGCTCAAGTCGAACGAAGTAGGGTACTCGTCGACCGCTGGCAAGCGTGTGGTGACGAAGCTGCGACAAGAGGGGGTATTTGCCAGACCTTTGGGCAATGTGGTGTATCTTATGTGTGCACCTGTGACGCCCAAGGACAAGTGCACCGAATGGCTCAAGACACTCAACCGTATCCTTGAGAGCGAGTGAGGCGCTTGTAGAGTGTATATAGTATAGATATATATATATACATATATATATGGGTTAGCTAGATGGAGTGTGGATATGCGATACGCTCGGACATCATACCCGGGAATGAGCACTCTCTCCCCTGACGCATAGACTTACCCGAAAAAATATGTCTTATCTGCCTATCTTACCTTAAATTACAAGTAGAATTCATGGACAAGTAGGTATTCTGTGTTACATCCCTCTCGGCCACCCAGGTGCACCGAGTGTCGTCAGAGAACCCTCGGGAGATATCGCCTACCACTATTCTATTCGGCAAAAATCTACCCTACGAGGGTATCAATCTGTCTACCTTTGGAGAGGAACACGAAGTATAGAAAAAAATCTAACAGGGGTGTGGTTGGGGTTAGTGTGCACAGAAGATTATGACTAGTCAGTATGAAGGTATAAAATGTTATCTTCAGCTAGCACTTGAGAAAGGGTTGGAGTGCAGGATAAGTAGTGGCAAGAGGGATCTCTATCTAGAACAAGAATGATGAGCAGTCGTGTACACGAATGTAAATAAAAATATCTAAATACTAGCGTGGTTCGAGGACAATGTCTGTAGAAGTAGAGAAGGGGAAAACAATCAAAATACCCTAATAGTGAAATAGTACTAGGGCTATAGATATATAGGTAACGAGGGTAGGTTGGAGGGATTTTGGAAAGCTACTATTGTCTCAGAGGTAATCTTATTTATAGCTTTTTTACTGAAAGCGTAAGCTTTTCTAAGTCCCTGTCGACTTTATCACCGATTTTTTGTCCGTCGCCAAAAAACGTCGGTGACGCTAAAAAATTCGGCTTAAAGCATATAAATCCGACTGAAAAAGGTCCGTGACGCTTTTTTTTCCCGGCTGGAAAAGGTTTTGCCCATTTGAGACCCTATGCAAAATAATCAATAGGCCCGAATGTCTGAATATTAACAAAGTAAATTACCCCTATGATTAAACGCTTTCAGTCCCTGCGGCTTCTCAGCCGCGTTTTATTTGGTACGGCTTTGTCATCTGCTCCTAAAATAGCTTCTCTGTGACCACCACAAGGGATTGAAGTGTTGATAACTCGGGTAGGTACCGTTCATGAAAAGGTATTCTGTTGTCATCTGGTGCTTCAGTGACGTGGGCTCACCATGCAATCGTAGCAGGACAAGATTGGCAGTCAGGGTGGGGTCGGCAATATTATTTACCGGTGTTAGGTGCTTGAGCACCAAGGGGGTAGGTTTTACTATAGATGAGCTACAGAGCAACGGGTTCCAAGTGTTCCTTGGAGGGGAACTTTGGTACCTTTGATGAGATAGCATTGTAGATCTGCACTCCCCTCTCAGAGAGAGTGACTCCTACGGAGTAGTATATACTTCCCCATCTAAGTTGTTTTACTCCCCCCCCTCCCCCGCCCCTGATAACGCCTACGGGAAGTATCTTTGCTTCGCTCCCCGTCAGAGAGCGGGAGGACTTTACTATCTGAGACACTCAGGTGCAGGTTCTTGCTCATGTGATTATGGGGACCAGTAGAATCGTATGGTGTAGACCAGTCTATTCACCCCAGGGGTAGCGATTCACTCTCTCCTACAGTAGGGTAGGATTCGGACCAGCCTACAAAAGCTACACTCACGACTACCGTTTTATTCTCTTGTCTGCCTCACTTCTAGTATCTCTCGACAACTCAATTCTTATTCTCTCGAATTCAATCATTTCCACTCACTACTAAATTCTACAGTATTCTTTATAAAGAGCATCACCACAGCCCACACATAACTTTAAAACATATTTTTACTAGTTTGATACATTCAACCACCCGCCCCCCTCCCCACTATAGTAGTCTTCTATAGAACAAGAAATATGCCTTTTATATTTAGAGAGGGAGGGAAGTAGGGTCTTCCCATAGAGGAGCCCGTCTGGAGTAATCGCTGAGGCAGGCAGGTATTTGAAGCTTTCCTATCATTTTCTTTTAAGGAGCCATGAATTCGGATAGACAGCCTGATTTTACCTTTAATGCGGGATGACTTCCCAATCTTTATATATGAAATATATAACGATATAAGATGAGATTCATTTCCTTTGGGTGAGAGTTCGGAGATTATGGGTCCAATTCCTACTCTACGGTGCGGAAAGATAAAATAGTGACTCATGAGGGATAGTTGTGTTACAAGGGTAGTGAAGGTGCTCCTCGTCAGGGGGATGGGTGATCCCCTAAAATCGGATAAGTGGGGATAGTCGAAGACTGGTTTACTGTCTACCCTATATCTCTATAGTGTAGAAATCAAAGTATATGTAAACAAATAGCCTGGAAAAGAAGACTGGTACATATGTATCTAAAAACCTAAGAATAGGACAGTGTCATAGGTTCTCAGTCACCGTTGGAAGTCGTCATCTATGTATTGGATATCATACCGACAGATATCCTATCAACCAATGAATAGACATGGTCAATTTTACCTCTTAAAAGTTATCACCGCATCCTTCTGGGCAAGATAGCATCCATACTTTTGTCCATCTAAATACAATTCAGTGGTATATATCAAAATAAGGATCAAAAGAAGGGATCATCAATATGATAGCCAGTCGATACCCAATCATAAACGGCTGATAGCCATAGCCCAATATACGAGAGGGGGAGTATGGAGTATCTCCCAAAAGAGCTCATATCCACACCCAGTCAAAGGGGGGGGAGTCCATCTATCATGTTCCGAGAGGAAAGTCATATGAGGAGAGTATAACAATACAAATCTAGGGGGTGGTTCATAAAGGAGGGGGAAATCATCTGAGTGTGAGCGTCTCTATCTTACACGAGTACGGAATTCTCTAGCAGTCCATTGTGATCGACCGGGGAAACTTGGGTCGTGGATTTAAGTTACAGTACCGGGATCTACGCATATGCGGGGGAGATAGGGTACTAACTTTGTAATAGCCTCCTCCAATGGCTTATGGGCTATCTTTCGGAGAGGGAGAGGTCCCCTTAAAAGTAGAAGTAAAGATATATCAGATGTGATTTTAATAAAGTTATATTTATAGTAACTGTAGACCACACTTTTAGCTAAAGAAGTAAGGATAGTATAGCATAAGGCTGGTGCTGGACTAAGCGCACACACGAGTGTTTATATTTTACGACACAAAAAACCACTTGTAAATTTATACCTATAAACGTGGCCGAGGAGACCAATCGAATAATAATATAAATAAACATTATTCGGCCAAGACTGAAGCGGGCATTCTGTCAGCGTGTATAAGCAGGCAAGACAGCGTGAAGTACAGCACCGACTCTCAGTCTATTCATCTGGCCAACCATTTTTGAAGATCCATCCCATCACTTCCTACAAGAATATCCTATATTTATTTTAGTTTTAGTACGGTAAAACTTCACAATAAAATACGACAGGCCCAGGCTTTGTATAGAATGCCCAAGGGTACCGTCTGTCCGACGCCGCCCGCACTGTCCTAACACAGTCAATGGCGGTGCTGGACTTAGCGCACACACGAGACGAGTATACATATTTTATCTGTATCTATATGATTAAATACAATTCCTTTCTAATAAATCCAGAGTGTTCTATATTCACTTTGATGATTCGTATAGCCGGAGTAATTGATAGGACTCGTATACTTGGCTCTATTTGAGATAGTAGTAGATATAGGAAATCATAAAATTAGAAATGTAAACTCAACCATTTGTAGCCAAAGGAGTGGCTGAGTGTTTTACTGAAAGAGTAGATATCGGAGTTCTGAATGGTAGAGGATTCAATTAAGTATAGTTTAGTGATTCGTATTTTGCTGAGTGTTTTACTGAAAGAGTAGGTAACGGAGTTCTGAATGGTGGAGGATTCAATTAAGTATAGTTTAGTGGTTCGTATTTTGCTGAGTGTTTTACTGAGATAACGGAGTTCTGAATGGTGGAGGATTCAATTAAGTATAGTTTAGTGATTCGTATTTTGCTGAGTGTTTTACTGAAAGAGTAGGTAACGGAGTTCTGAATGGTGGAGGATTCAATTAAGTATAGTTTAGTGGTTCGTATTTTGCTGAGTGTTTTACTGAGATAACGGAGTTCTGAATGGTGGAGGATTCAATTAAGTATAGTTTAGTGGTTCGTATTTTGCTGAGTGTTTTACTGAGATAACGGAGTTATGAATGGTGGAGGATTCAATTAAGTATAGTTTAGTGGTTCGTATTTTGCAGCGCTTTACATAGTAAATCACTGTTAGATGTGACGGTTTGTAATGACGTACTATAAGAAGAGTAGGGTCTATAAAAACCCTAAACCCTAAACCCTAAACCCTATATAAGCGAGGATACTTTGAGCTTAATGTTCAGTCTGCTAGAATAAACATCTGGTCAACAATTATAATTCAAAAAAGTAGAGTATACGAATTTGAGATTACAACTAAACGCTAGTAGAATATGGCGTATGTAGAGAAAGAAATAAATGAACCATTGTGGAAGCATGTCAGAGGGGAGCCGGTGACGGTGCTGATGGATCGATGGGCTAGGGCGCAGAAGACGAAGGCGTATGAAAGAGGACTGGTGTGCTTCTTTTGCAGGAGGTTACTCCTGAGACGCAATCAGAACCTGAAGCCTTTGTGCAGTCGTTGCGGATTAAGCCGAAAGACTTGAAGATGGCGGCAGCAGCTCTGTATTCTATGTTCAAGGATTCGTTTGAGATAGTTGAATCGCAGGCTGATTTTGCAAAATCAATAGGTCTGTGGCGTAATAAGCCGGATAAAGTGCTTTTGGCGTGAAGAGAGTTGAAGGATAATGGAGCGCGTTATGTGATTGCGGTGAATGAGGCAAAGAAAGCATTGAAAGAACATGATGCATTTGAGGATTTTGATGAGTCTGAGGATGAGGTGGCAGAAGATAGTAAGTTAGAGACTGATGACGAGGATGCGAGAGCTGCATCAAAGGATTTGTTGAAGCAGCATAAGCAGCAGTATGAGGCAATAGTTAAACAAATACGGAAGAACGCGTTGAATGAAGAGCAGCATGGTTTGAGGTGGCTCGTTCCGTTGCTTAGGTATGATGATTGGTGTTAATCTATGCTGGTATTGGCGAATAATGTTGATGCTCGGAAGAAAGTGCTTGAGGATTTGAAAGATTTGTCAGCTCGTACAGTGAGTCTGCTAGAAGCTTTGTTTGATGGTAGTAAGGCTGAAGTGGTGGTTTGGCGGATGTGGTAGAACAGTTGACGTGTATGCGTGAGGATACAAAAGAGCAACAGGCTGAGAAAGATCAAGCAAACCGTAGACATCAGGTGTGTATGGAGGCGAAGCAGAAGCAGTTTCAAGCGGCTGCGGCTCGTCAAGTAGCTGGTGCGGGTACGAGCGCGATGAGTGGGCTGCGTGGTCCGTGCAACTTTCGTAAGGAAGTCGGGCATTATGTGAGAGAATGTCCTGTCTTGAAAGAGGTGATTTGTCAGGGATGTAGTAAGAAGGAGCATTCTGCTACGCACTGTCCAGACGAGTTCGTGACCGTATGTTGCAGTTACAAATCAAGGATGGTGGTGTGCCTGTGGGGCAGGTGTATAAAGAAAATGATGTGCGTATAATATAGATCACAAGGCAGAAGGTATATGCCTTGTTCGAGCCTGGCTTGATTGAAAGGTTACAGGATACGGATTGGCTGACGGTGCCGAAATTGGTACCTAAGGTCCCTGGGAGTACACCTAGTTATGAAGAAGCCAAGGAATGGCGAATGTATATAAATTATCTGAGGACTAATTATCTGCTGGAGGCTAATACATATCCTATTCCGACAGTGGATAAATTCTTGTTGTCAGTACGTGGATTCAAGTATAGGACCAATGTTGATACAGGGGATGGTTTTGAGCAGTTGATGATAGCTCTGGAAAGTAGAGGAGCTACTGCGTTCTTGACACCATGGGGCGAACGGTTTCAATATATAGGGATGTCTTTTGGTCTTAAAGAGGCCTCCTTGTTTTCAACAGTTGTTTTTATATTGATGATACGGGCTTGATATTGGGTTGATATTGTTGAGATAATACGTCGATTTAAGACGAAGGGCATCTAGCAGCGTTTAGCGAAATGAAATTGTGCTTATCAAGGCAAACCTATTGTTGTTATAGGACATTCGGAGACAGCACAGGGATCTATGATTAGTGATGACAAGTTGCAGGCGTTGTTAGCGATGCCAAGACCAAATACGAAAGCTCAAGTGCGGTCATGGTATCAACGTTTTGGCTGGTGGGCGAAGTATGTTCCTGGGGTTTCCAGGATATTGGCGCCTAATAGATGATCTTGTTGAGCAAAGGGTGCGTTTCTGCCAGGGCGAGCCTCAGGGCATGCTTTCTTGGCGGTGCGTGGGTTGTTAAAGGCGCAAGTGGTGTTAGCCGAGCCGGCTCAGGATGAGCAGTTGAGAATGCAAACTGATGCATATGATTTGGAAGTAGGTGCGTCTCTTTATGTATTGAGAGATGGGCGGTGACTGCCAGTTGGCTTTGTTAGTTCTAAGATAGATTTTCCTGCAAATCTATCTCCGACTGATCGTGAATCGATTGCTTTGGCCTATGGGTTCAAAAAATTAGAGCCTTGGATTCGAAGATCATTTTGTGTGTGCGGGCTGAGATGGATCATGAACCCTTATTGGGTGTTTTGCGGCAATTTGAGTTCTCTATCGATCCTGTAGGGAAGCAACGATATCGTAATGTTATGTATATTCGTTCTTTTGATATGGATGTGGTTCATATCGAGGGAGCACAAAATGAGGTTGTGGATGGTCTCAGTCGTATGCCATGGTGGTTCGATCCGATTATGATTCCCATAGCGGTTGGGAATGTGAAGTTTGTGGCTTGTGCACAGATGGGGTTGCCGGAAGTGGATGTTGATGTAGATTTGTCGATGAGAGCTGTGCATAAGAATGTAGAGTATCGTAAGGCACAGATGATTGCATTGAGGGAATGCTTGGTGGTTTTTTTAACGTACTGCTGCTGAGAGTGAAGACTCTGACTTTTGGGTTCGACTGCGTCTGTTGCAGCAGCAGATTCCTGCGGTTGCTGACAGGGGTGTGTTGCGTGTGTGGGATCCAGAAGAGACCGCGTCAGCACAAATTGATTGTGTGGGATTGAATGTGTGGTCAGATTTAATTCGTCCGTTGCAGGACTACAGCTAGACACTTGCGCATGCTGGTGTTGATCGTACGTTTGCCTTCTTGCAGCAGAAATATGGAGATGAGGTACAGAAGTCGCAGGTGGCTGCGGTTTTGAAGGGGTATGTCGCGTATCAGCAGGTGACTAAGTTGAGAGGTGATACTGGGTTGTTTATGCAGCCTGATAGACCGGCTAGTGTGGGGATGTGTATTGGTATGGATCACTTGTCATTGGTAAAAGCTGCACATGGTTTTGAAGGAGGGCTATTGATCATTTCTCTCGAATGATATAGTGTAGGCCATATATGGCTCATGAGAAAAACTCCAAGGGTGTGTTGGAGTTTCCGCAGCAGCAGGTTCTCCCCTGGGGTACACCAAAGCGTGTGGCATTAGATCAGGGTGGCCCTTTTGTCTCCGATGAAATGCAAGAATTTTGGGCGGAGAGGAGTGCAGAGTGCCATTATGTGTCTGTTAATCGGCATCAGGGCAATGGACGTGCTGAGTGTGTGCTGCGCACGATTGTTGATTGGATAGCAAAGTCTTCCAGTGGGTGAAGAGCGGTTATGGCCTGCATACATATATTCTATTGTGTTAGCTTATAATGCGACGGTCAATTCTACTACGGGTGTTAGTTCTTATTCTCATGTGATAGGACGGCAATATACAGCGCAAGTTGACATGGTACTTCAGGCGAATTTATTGTATGTTTTGAGGTTGAAAGTATTGAGTGAAGCAGCGGTACGTGATCGAGCTGTTGATATTAGGAATGAGGTTGCTAAGGGTTCACAGTTGAGGGCGGTCGATAAACGTAAGCGAGTGGCTCCAGTATGGGAACCAGGCCAGTTGGTATGACGCTTAGAGACGCGTGAAGGCAATAGAATGGAGAATTCTTATATGGCTTTGGTGTTGTGGTGATGCGTGAATCGCAGGGTATGTATAAGGTTCGGATTGATGGCAAGGTGCATAGATTGCATGTGTATCAGCTTAAGGAGCGATTAGAGGATGTAACTGGTGAACAAAGTCTGGAGCCCTATTTGTTATCGATATTCTGGTGTGGGTAAGGCTACTGCTCACTAATTGACGGGGTTGGTCACTGCTATGTGCACAACAGACATGGGCAATTAAGGTTACAGTACATGCTTACTTTTGCTACAGATGTCAGATGTGATCCACTGATCTGACCCTGATCATGGATGTGATAGTGATTAGTGACTGGGACGAAAATTTAAAAATACGGGGATGGAGGATTAAAATTGAAACTGCGATCGGAGTAAACTTTACTGACATACATGTTAAATACTCAGGAGGAGAAGACTATGTTGTGCACCAGCACGAATCAGAGCCACAATGTATGGAATCCTGTTACAGAAACGTGATTTTGAGAATAATGCCACCACTGTAAGAGCCACCCAGAGGGTGAATTGAAAATTTGAAATCTAATATGAAAGGTAGCCTATCAGAGGAGCGTTTTTAATCTATAGCAAATCTAATCTACACAGCTATTTCAGTGTCATGAAATTTATGAGCTGTCAAAACTGAAAACTCAAACTAAAACTTAGTATTCTTTGTGTGCACAGCGCACAGTGCAGACGCCAGACTGCCAACTACAAGTCCTTGAAACCAAGTCTTGAAGTCTAACTACAAGCGGTCCAGTGTCAACCGATAACTGTGCCCGTTAGTACAAGACTGCAAGCCTATGTAGTGTTTAGTGAAAGGGGATTTTTAATTTCATTTTCAGAATATCTGATCCTCACACGATTCGATTGTCTATGAATACTTCCAGTCCCAGATGAAACGTAATACATACCAGTCTACAATATCTAGTAAATAGTTGAGACATACTACCATCTAAGAATTCTTATTTCACTATGCTTAAAGAGGTGTAACCAATACAGCTGCCAGGCGCCCTTTCAGAGAACACTCTGGGCCAATTGAAAAACAAATAAGAGAATCGGTAATTGGACGAAATACTTTGGTCACAACACCTCCAAGAATACGAGC